GAGCAGGGAGCCCGATGCGGGGCTCGATTCCAGGACCCTGTGATCATGACCTGAGCCAAAGGCAGACGCTTAACGACTGAGCCACCCAGTCGCCCCTCACCATGCTTTTTCACACTTGATCCACTATAAAATCTGAGCAAGAGTGTTGTACTAGTAAGATCACAAGCTTGGTTGCTGGAGGAGGGCAGATGGGGAAATTGAATCCAAGTGACTTGGACCAGCCATGGAGAAAAGAACTGGATGGCAGTGACTTTATTTATTTATTTTTTAAAAAGATTTTGTTTCTTTTAAGTAATCTCTACACCCAGCGTGGGGCTGGAACTTAACAACCCTCAGATCAGGAGTCACATGCTCTACTGACTGAGCCAGCCAGGTGCCCAGCAATGACTCTTTGATAAGAGATATGATGCCCCCATTTCACTCGATGCTTATTAGACGGTATTTCTTACATACATCATGATTCAAGGAACTATCAGGGAGACAAATATATCTAACAGAATGAACTTCAAGGAATTTATGATCTGATGAGAAAAATAGGACATAAAGAGTAACTTATGTAACCGATTTTCTTATAAAACATCAGATCTATTACTTTACAGTCATAAATATGTACATTCAGAGATAGCAGGTTATTCGGAATAAGTATGAAATGAGTAATCAAGACAAGGGCAAGTGCTACAGGCATTTAGAGGAAGAAGAGATTGTTTTGGGATAGGCTGTTCAAATCAGGTTTTACAACAGAGATAGGACCAGAAGCATGAGTAGCATCTAAGTAGCAGGAGGGATGATAGCCTTCTCATTGTGGGGAATGACACAAAGTGAGGCAGAGAAGATCTGTTCAGGGCAAAACAATCTGGGTAGGGGAAAATGTTGGTGACAGGAACAGGTCAGGGTGTGATTGTGGGGGACTTTAAATCCAAAGTTGATGTCATAGGCATACCTTACCTAGCAGGGAATGGGGAGCTGAAGTTATTCTTAAGCAAAGAAATGACTTAATGAAAGCAGTCCTTTAAGGGGATTCATCAGGCAATAGTGTGCAGGGCAGATTACAAAAGCAAGGGGGCATAGGCTGGAAGAACAAATGGAAACACAGTAATTTAGGTCTAAGATGCCATATTTTCTCAATTCTAAGACACTGTTGACGTAACAGAGTTCATAATAAAAAACTCTACATTAAATGCCTACATTGATTATAAGATAAATCTTGACTTTAGGTGTGAAAATCATAAAAATATAGGCATTTCAGAATTAAGAAAATAACAGGATGAACTAAGGTAGTGATGATAGGAATGGTAGGAATGGGAAGGAAGAGTAGCTGTAAACCGCCCCCCCCAAAACAAAACACCCAAAACTATTTTGAAGAAGTTGAGACATTGGATGTTAAAAGTCAGAGAGAAGATTAAAATATGACTCAGTGATTTTGAGTCTGCATGAAAGTGGCAAATTGGTACCATTAACAGACATGGGAAAGTCAAGAGGAAAAAAACTGAACTAAATTTTATATATTGAGTTTGAGGTGAGGAAATATCTAGCAGGCAATTGAGATATGGGCCTAGAACTAGGAAGAGAGATCAGGCTAGCGTATGCATCCAAGGAATTATCTACACAGAAGTCAAAATGGAAGACTTGAGAGTGAATGAAATTCTGAAGAACGGAATATGTAGAGGACCAGGGGCAGATATGTAATCCTTAGGAAATACCCACATTTAGAGACAGGAAGCAGGGTAGGGAAGAAAAGCAGAAATGATGTGACGGGTTGGATTAGATGCATTCCAGGGTAGGGGCATGAAAGTCATGAGAAGAGAAAGGTTGAGGCTTATGTTCATGCTTAGGATTTATAGACATTAATTATGTGTATTTGGATGTCTTTTTTTTTTTTTTTTTGGAAGGGTGGGGTAGGGCCCAGTGCAGAGTCCAATCTCACGACACTGAGATCATGACCTGAGCCAAAATCAAGAGCTGGATGCTTAACTGACTGAGCCATCCAGGCACCCCATGTATTTGGATGTGTCTTAAGCATTCACAGAGGTTAAGCCCACTAAAGTGCTCCAAAGGAATGTCCATGTGGGACTCCACCTTCATCCTTAGCTTCATGCTGACTACCAGATGTGGGCTATTCCTCAGCTCCAGGGGTTTTGGATCAGTACTTTGGCTGGTTCCTCAGCCTCTATTGAAAAATCATGAAATTTTTCCAAAGGCTTGTTGCTGGTTTTGAGTGCTATTGATCTTAGCTAGGTCCTTTCAAGTCCAAAAGAACATTCTTCTCACATAACTCTTTCATGAGCAGTTATTTAAAACATAATTTTGTTGACCTAACTTTTTATAACAGAGTCAAAGTTAAACTAGTTTTAAGTACTTTTCCAGTTCTTCTGGAATAGCTGTGCAAATTAAACTTTCTGAACTCCAGTTAGTCAGGGATGGCTGAGCTCTCTCTGGCTTACCTCATTTCCCTAGCAGACAGAGAAGAAATACAATTATTTACCGGTTTGAAATATGATACTTTCATAGCTCATAAAGAAAAATACACTTAAAAATCCCACTAAAGGGGCGCCTGGATGGCTCAGTCGGTTAAGCGACTGCCTTGGGCTCAGGTCATGATCCTGGAGTCCTGGGATCGAGTCCCGCATCGGGCTCCCTGCTCGGCAGGGAGTCTGCTTCTCCCTCTGACCCTCCT